ACTAGTGTGAAGGCGCACGACTCGCCGTCGCTTTGCTGATAGCGCTGTTTCTCTCACACATGCAAAGAGAGAGAGCGAGCGTCTTGCATACCATGCTGAATCGACGCGTTACATGTAAACCATATTCTTTGTTGTATTTTCCTGTCAAAATAATCTATGTAATGTCCCCATTTAGATAGCTAAGTAAATGCGCGCGCGCTTGTGTGTGTGTGTGTGTGTGTGTGTAAAATAGTATATCAGTCAGGCGAGTAAACAAAAAAAATTACTAGCCAATAGCGGTTTTAGTGCAAAGGATAAATGTAAATGTGATTTTTGTAAATCCTTTTTTGTGTCTTGGGCACAAACGCTCAACAAAGCTGCTTATTTCTTAAAGTTTATTTCTTCAAGGTACTACTATAATATAAATGCTTACATATATTTCATACAGTTTCTATTTGGGGGGTTTAAAGTGTTAGCTCATCCAAACATAAATTCAATCATTATTTACTCGCCTCAGTTCAATCCTTGTTTTGTTTTTCTGAACACAAAAGTTGATTTTAGTTAAGTTTGTCCTGCTGGTTTCTGTTCATACAATATCAGTCGATGGGAGACTGACTTTCAGAAGCTTCATGACATTATTTGATGATGCTTTTAAAGCTTCTGAAACTCAGGTTTCATTGACTGATGTTGTATGAACAAGCTAGCAGGACAAACTTGACCAAACTCACATCCTCAGTGTCTTTTGGTCTTTCTCTAGATGCTCTCGCTGGCTCTGGGGTCATCTCATCCATGGCATGAATCCCCATTGCCAGCCCAGCCCCTAATCTCTATTTAGACAGACCAGATGTAACCCTTACCTTACTTTAATACAGCAGCCAAATGAGTAATATAATGTGATGATGAGATACTTTTGTATTCCTAGCTAACTAATTAGCAAATATGCATATTTTGATTGAACATAATAATAAGAAGAAGAATAAGAGTAATAAGAATCACTTTACGTTTAATTGTAATTTGAACACACTTCTCTACAAACTGATCTGCCTTGTTATTTTGAGAGATGAAGACATCTATTCATATCTTGACAGAAGAGAGAACAGACAGAAACGGGTTCTAACCAGGAAAGATACTTCAAAGGCCAGCTGCATTAAAAGGTTTAGAATAGTCTTACAAGTTAATCTATTTTTTTTCTTTAACACTGGTCATTTTCTTTCTTTTTTTTTTTTTTTTTAATTCGGTTACATAAAAACATAGTTTAGTCTGAGCTGAATCAAAAAAATAAGACTAATTACTCCTTGGATAACTGTTAGTTGGTCAGACAAGACACTTAACATAGAGGCTAACTTATGCAACTGGCCCCAGAGTCTATTTTCTGGAAATAGACACCCATACCGGTGCCTAGCTGACAGATTTAGTGAATAACACAAACACCAGCATTATCTGCGTTAGTGAAGAGAAGAGCTGTTGGCCCTTTAAAAAGAAATAGCCACATCTGACCATGTGAATAAGAATAAAGTAAGGATTTCCCTTTGTAGAATTGAGAAAATAAATAAATAAATAAACATAAGGCCCTGTTATTTCTGCATGTAAAGGATCTTTTATTAACAGATTTTTAGAAAAAAATGATTGGGTAACACTTTACAATAAGGTTAACATCAGTTAACAATATGAGCTAGCAATGAAAAAGAAAGCATGTATTAATCTTAGTTCATGGTAATTTCATTATTTAGTAATACATTATTAAAATCAAACGTTTAATCTTTAAATATGATTTAATGATCCTGAGCCAACACGAACTAACAATGAACAGTAGTATTTTTCTTAACTAACGTTAACAAAGATTTATAAATATTGTAACAGATGCAGGCCCTATTGCTAATTGTTTGTTTGATTGTAACTGTAGAATTGTCTTTACTGTATTTTTTGACGAATGTAATGCAAATAATGTAAATAAATGTTTAAAAAAATTATAGTGATTTCAATTATCTTATCTTATCTTATCTTATCTTTCCTTAGACTGTAAGTAGTGGACAATCTTAAATGGTCACTATTACAAATATTTTTCACAGTAAACATGATTTTTCACACGTTCTGTTTATTATTATTATTATTATTATTATTATATAGCATATATAATATAGCAATTTAAATTAGAATATTTAGCTATTGTTATTATTGTCGGAACGCATTTATTATCACCGCTGTTACCAGTAGACAGTAGCGCCCCCCATCTTTTTCACTATGGAATGGAACACAATGTTTCATAACCGGGTGATATACATCTGTCTGAGCAAATATACAAGGTTTCTCACAACCGATTTATTAAGTTTATTTTGCAGTGGGCTGTTCTGTAATCTAAGAAAGTATGGACTAGATTGCATGACATCACGGCTCCATATAAAGACCAGACCACCTGATGTATTAAAAAAGGAGGGGAAACCAAGAGAAACGTCGCGTCCCTGACGGTTCCTCTGGTTTGAAGATGGCGGTCCCAACTCAAAGCAGCCGGACTGGATCCGTTACCAGTCTGGGAAACAGTCCAACCGCAACACCAGGCGGCTTAAACAACACCCACAAGCTGTGGTGCTGTCATGAGCTTGATTTTAGGTCCGGAATGAAGATCGAAGAGCTCAACCGACTCATCCATGAATTCAGTAAACAAGACCAAGGAGAGTATGATGACCAGAGGGCACTGGAAATACACACCGCCAAGGATTTTATCTTCTCCATGCTCGGTAGCATTTAAAACTCTTAAGATATTTTGTAAAATAATCATTATTATTATTCATTAGGCTATTCACCTATGTTTCACGATTCATCCATTTGTCATCCAGTTTTATTACGTAAAAAATGGTAGAATCTGTTTAGAATTACAGACAGTCAGAAATGGTCAGATATATGCACTAATAGCTACTATATTTTATTTTACCCGTAATTCTGTATCAGAGGTTTTAGATATAGAATATAAAATAGATGTATGTACTAATCTGGGTTATAAATAGGCCTGTCACGATAACAACTTTTTGTTGTGCGATATATTGCCAGAGAAATAATTGCGATAAGCCATATTATTGTCATTTTAAAGACCATTTTATGCCACTGAATATATAATCATAATGTAACAGCATAATAATGCAAGAAGACTGTAAAAACTTCCAAATGACAACAAACTTTTAATTTTTAAGAATATTTAGATCATGGAAATT